ACATATATATTGTGTTTGGATTATTCACCATATATATAAATCAACATAATAACATGTCTTAATAAGTTATGTAAATCGTAGTTAAACTTAATTACAACCCTAGCCGTAAAATTCCATATAGCATCATAGTAACTTCTTATCCAAGAAACCAAACTCTAGACATCTAATCGATTAATAACAGACAATCAATACCACGAAAGTTCCATCAATATATGTGCGCTTCGGATCTAGCCTTGGTTCGACCGGTACGCATAACGGCTAGCCCAAAAGAGATAATGCAAGTAATTAATCCCACTAAGCACACACATGAGCCAGTAAAATCTCTCGAGATGGTACTGATTCAGATTCTTTCCCAAAAGCCATGGATTGTGATGATTTAAGCCTGTGACGAAATTCACAGCTGAGATGAGAACAGAACTCAAGTAATATCCCATCGCAAGAGACGTCCAAGAGAGCGAGGTCGCGAGGGAACGCATCGTAGAAGGAGCTTCGGTGAAAAAAAATTCCATCATTCCAGCTAAAGTGAAGAGATCAGCTGATCCAAGAAACACATATTGCAAAGCCACCCAAAGAAACGTTATAGGAACCGGCGAAAGAGAAGAAGTAGAGCTGTTGCTTGAGTAGCAAGTAACCTCCGCAACGACGCGTTTGCGTTTGGTTTCTACTAAGGCTGCGACTGCCATCGCGACTACTGAAAGGACGAGCCCTGTTCCGATGCGTTGGAGATGGGTTATGCCGGTCTCGGTTTTGGTTGTTTTTCTAGCTAGAGGGAGGAGGAGGTGGTTGTAGGTCGGAGCTAAGATCATTGTGAAGACGACCGGGAAAACCGGTAATGCCGCGGGTGGGACGACTAACGACCCGAGCTTCGTGTTCATCGTGGAAGCTTGTTGGACGGAAAACGTAGAGAGCTGAGCTAAACAGCAGTTAAGCATAATGGTAGACATGAAAATAGGTAGAATCTTGATGACTATCTTCACATCTTCGACTTGTTCCTCCGTGCAACGAAGCAGTCTAGGCAGCGATTCGCGCTCTCTCAAAGCTTTACCAAGGAACGATCCAAGAATTCCGTCATCTACGTCGCCATTTCGTTTGGTATCGTCGTCACAATCGTTTCTTGTATGACACGTAACAACGTTTCTTAAAGTTCTTCTTCTCTTAAACTTAGCGTAGAAAGCAGCGGTTAAGACCTTGAATAGAGTCGTGATGGGACTTCCACTAGGAACCTTGAGGCGATAAAATCGAGAACCGGCCAAGAAAACGGGTACCGAGATCAAGATCGCGGCCGTTGAAATACCGAACCCGTAATACCAACCTTTGTTATCTTCGAGCCAGACCACGACCGTGACAGCTATCAATGCACCGCACGAGAGGCTAAAGATGAAGTAGTTGAAGAAGAATGATCGTTGTTTCCTCCCACTCAGTGTGGTTTCGTCGAACTGTTCAGCTCCGTGCGGTGGCAACGAGCCTTTGATTCCTCCGACACCGAGGGCTACTAAGTACAGACCCACGAATAGAATTACACGACCCCATGGCTCCGTGGAGTGCTCGTGGGCTTGGACGGTTAGTACCAATAAGCCCTGTACGTTTCAAAAATGAGTGTGGTTAAATATTTTATATCTAACAGATATTTTTTTTTTGAAACTTAATTAAGAAAGTTAAGTTTTCTAACTTATATATACACATTCTAAAAAACAAAACAAATCTAAGTTTTGACTGAAAACACAAGTTACACACATAAAAACAGCTTTGTAACTAAACCTTCGAGAAATTGAATTGAAATAAACAAATTTAAAGTGTCTCACTTTTTTTAACATTCAATAATTTGATAAGAAATCTTGTCGGAAATCCATTTCGCATGACCTGGTGTGGTGTTAGGTAAAGATATTTTTATATTTAAACACCGTTTCTAAA